AGCTCTCTAGCTTCTCAGAACCCCGAGTTATGAATTTACGCGGGAAAAATTTTGAAGGGCTCGTACACGGGTACCACGCTTACCCGGGTGCTGGATTCGAGCTCATTAGCACCTGCTTGGACGGGGAACATTCCCCTAAAATTTCAGCTTTCTAGTGCCTCAGAACCCCGCGTTATGAATTTACGCGGGAAAAATTTTAAAGGGCTCGTACGCGGGTACCACGCTTACCCGGGGGCTGGATTCTTTTACGCGGTAAAAACTTTGGGGGGCTCGTACGCGGGTACCACGCTTACCCGGGGGCTGGATTTCACCATTAGCATCTGCTTGGACGGCCCATACGCGGGTACCACGCTTACCCGGGGGGCTGGATTTGAGCTCATTAGCACCTGCTTGGACGGGAACATTCCCCTAAAATTTCAGCTTTCTAGCATCTCAGAACCCCGAGTTATGAATTTGCGCGGGAAAATAGGGTACTACGCTTACCCGGGGGCTGGGTTTGAGCTCATTAGAATCTGCTTGAACGGGGAACATTCCCCTAAAATTTAGCTTTCTAGCGTCTCAGAACCCCGAGTTATGAATTTGCGCGGGAAAAATTTTGGGGGGCCCGTACGCGGGTACCACGTTGTCTGAGCCCATTAGCATTTGCTTGGACGAGGAACATTCCTCTAAAATTTCAGCTTTCTAGCATCTCAGAACCCCGAGTTATGAAATTAGCCGAAAAAAACCTCGGCGGACTCGTGCGGGGGGGTACCGCGCTTATCTGGCTGCTGAATCTGAGCCCACTAATAGCCGTTTGGGCGGGGAACATTACTCCAAGATTTCAGCCTTCTAACTTTTCAGATCCCCGAGTTATGAACTTACCCGGAAAAAACTTTGGCGAGCTCGTAAGGGGGTACCACGCTTACCCGGGGGCTGGGTTTGAGCCCATTAGCATCTGACGGGGAAAAACTTTGGGGGGCCCATACACGGGTACCACGCTTACCCGGGGGCTGGATTTGAGCCCATTAGCATTTGCCTGGATGGGAACATTCCCCTAAAATTTCAGCTTTCTAGCATCTCAGAATCCCGAGTTATGAATTTGCGCGGGAAAAATTTTGGGGGGCCCGTACACGGGTACCACGCTTACCCGGTTATGAATTTGCGCCATTCCCCTAAAATTTCAGCTTTCTAGCACCTCAGAACCCCGAGTTACGAATTTGCGCGGGAAGAATCTGGGGGGCCCATACACGGGTACCACGCTTACCCGGGGGCTGGGTTTGAGCCCATTAGCATTTGCCTTGGGGGGAACATTCCTCCAAAATTTCAGCTTTCTAGCACCTCAGAACCCCGAGTTATGAATTTGAGACGGGGAACATTCCCCTAAAATTTCAGCTTTCTAGCATCTCAGAACCTCGAGTTATGAATTTGTGTAAATTTTGGGGGGCCCATACACGGGTACCACGCTTACCCGGGGGCTGGATTTGAGCCCATTAGCATTTGCCTGGGTTTGGACGGGGAACATTCGCCTAAAATTTCAGCTTTCTAGCATCTCAGAACCCCGAGTTATGAATTTGGGCGGGAAAATTTTGGGGGGCCCGTACGCGGGTACCACGCTTACCCGGGGGCTGGGTTTGAGCCCATTAGCATAAACTTTGGGGAGCTCGCACGCGAGTACCACGTTTACCCGGGGTCTGGATTTGAGCCCATTAGCATGTGCCCTTTGGCGGGCTCGCACGCGGGTACCACGCTTACCCGGGAGCTAGATTTGAGCTCATTAGCACCTGCTTAGACGGGGAAAAACTTTGGGGGGCCCATACATGCGCTTACCCGGGGGCTGGATTTGAGCCCATTAGCATCTGCTTGGACAGGGAACATTCCCCTAAAATCCAGCTTTCTAGCACCTCAGAACCCCGAGTTATGAATTTGCGCGGGAAAAACTTTGGGGGGCCCATAATAGGTACCACGCTTACCCGGGGGCTGGATTTGAGCCCATTAGCATCTGCTTGGACGGGGAACATTCTCGGGTACCAC